TAAGACGCCATGTCAAGGCAAGTAGCAAACGGAAGTGAACTTGACAGTATTATATAACTGTTGTTATTTTATTTTTAATAGTATTCTATTGATTTCGTAGTTTTACGCGAACATTGCACATGATTAAAACTACTTTTACGGATTTTGTCGCGTTTATTTTTATTTATTTTTTACTTTTTATTTTTAATTCCCGACGTTTCGGGCGCTTTCCAGTCCCCCGTGACCATGGGTGCTGGAAAGCGCCCGAAACGTCGGGAATTAAAAATAATAAGTAAAAAATAAATAAAAATAAACGCGACAAAATCCGTAAAAGTAGTTTTAGTATTCTATTATTATTTCAATATTGTAAAGAACACTTGTTTTAATAAAAAATATTCTTTAAAACAAAAAATTATAGGTATTTTACTAAATACGATACCTACTTAAATAAAACTTCTTTTGTTTTTTTTATTTTGTACTAATTTATAGTAGAATATAATTCTGTTACTGATTAAGTAGACTTGGTACCAAATTTATTAGTTAAAGTTCCCATCACTATTTGCTTATTAGCAAGTGTTGCAACCTTGATTTTAACCAATTAGCGTGCATTTCAACCCACCTCCCCCCGTACCGCTTACCTCAGACTTTTGACAGACAGGTTTGGATGCAGAAATACATACATTAGGCGTCTATTCGGACTGTGTAGTCGTTGTCCAATTGCACAATTTCTCGGGAAGCCCATAGGAAGGGAGCTTCGAAAGAAGCGCTTTGTGCCAATGCCTCCCCCATGGACTCTGCCGCCGCCCATCTATGAGTCAGGTAGACCAGAAGATCACCAGCTGATCGACCACGACAAAAACTGTATTGGCGGTCACTAATCAGCTGGTGATTCTCAAGGTACCTCATGAGCTGGCAGTTTACAATGGACTCCATAGTTTTGGAGAACAAGGAGATGATGGCGATGGGCCTGTAGTTGGACGGGTCTGAGCGGTCGCCTTTTTTAGGGATCGGGTGGACGAAAGCCGTCTTCAATGATTTTGGGACTACGCCTAGAGAGTAGGAGTACCGGAAAAGAAGCCTTTAAGACCCGTGTCAACTCTGGAGCACACGTCCTCAGCAAAATTGGGTGGATACCGTCAGGTCAACTCGTCTTGTGGATGTCCAGGGAGAGGAGTGCTTTGCGAACCGAGCGCTATGTGAACCGCACCTCTGGCTTGGAACACTCACACCGCGGGATGGCCGGCGCCGTACTCCCCCCGTCATCTAGAGTCGAGTTGTACGCAAAGAAAGAACCCAGCTGCTCGGCTTTCTCCTTTGCGGCATGGGCCAGTGAGCTGTCACCCATTTTTTCCATCTCTGCACAGGGATGTGCAGAGATGGAAAAGATGGCTGACAGCAATGCCCCTGGACAGCCTTAACGAGAGACCAGAATTCACGGGTTTCAGAAGGAAGGTGAACTAGTTTTTCGCCAATTCTGGACTTTGCCTTGGCAATGACTCTTGAGGGACCTGGAAGCGGAATTATATTTTTTTAGAGAGCTGGTGTTTACATCCCGGGACGTTGATGCGTCAGCCTAGGCTTGGTAGCACTCCTGCTTATAGCATGATGCTATTTTACAGGAGCGACCAAACCGTGGCTGAGATTCGCCTTCGATGGGCACTACAGAAGAAGGAATAAAAAGTCCCATACCCTGAAGTACCACATCAGCGACAGAATCAGCAACAACTTTGAGATCGTCCGGCGAGAAGCAAACTTGCCGCAGAATGCAACCGCGATTTCAGCGTGAGTGGCACCACACTCCGGACAAGATAATGGTCCGAGGAGCCTAAAGGGACGTCGACGGAAATCTGATATCCGTCCGGATGAGAGGTCAGCAGAAGGGCCAACAGGGAAGGTGTATGATCCTCCACATCTGGAATCCGCGTAGACGAAGTAACCAGTTGTGTGAGACCATATGTCAAGGCCCAAGGCAAAATCAGGAACAGATCTCCCCGCATGATCGGTTAAACATGAACCAAGCCATTCGGCGTGGTGGGCGTTAAAATCGCCAAGGATCACAATATCTGCGAAGGGGATCTGCTGTAGCAACGAATCTGTAGCCATTCGGACGTGGTCCAAGAGTCGGTCTGTTTCGGCATTACCGCTATGGGACCTATAGAGGCACCCGTAGACGTGCGGACGATCGTCGCTGTCTACGCGTAGCCAAAGGATGGACAGGTCCGAACCTTCAAGACTGTCAAGAACGGATGTCCTCTCTGACGTATAGGCAAACTCCAGCCCGAGGCGCAAAGGAGTGTTCCAGTTTGTACCCCGGGTAGGAGAGATACGAAGCATCAGCCGGAGAGGATACCTGCGTCTCAGTCAGAAAGAGCACAGCCGGCCTCGCCGTCTCAAGATGGTAGTGGACGGCGTTTAGGTTAGAATGAAGTCTCCTGATATTGCAGAAATTCACGGATAGCGTGACAGGGATCGCCTTGGTGTTGTTGCTCAGCTTGCCCCGAGCAATTATTATCTTGAGCGGAATTTTGCCGCCCCCAGAATACGCGGGGCAACCTGAGCTCACTCGGTCGAGTAACTTGGTCGTGGATGCTCAGCGAGGGATTCTCCATTGGTGCTGGTACCCTCCTGGGGTACTTAATTCCGCTAGCATGTTAAGGGGGGGAGGGGTTAATTGGACCTCCGGCCACCTACACTCACCATACGAAACGCGAAAGATAAACTTACACTTCATGCCGGTATTCTTTGGGGTCGTGGTACCACCCGGTTTGAGCCGGCCCATTCGTGCAACAGCAAAGCTGTCGCGTGGCTCTACCATTGTTAATACTGTAGGTACATTGTATATTACCTATTTCAAATAGTGTGCAAATACTTATTACTTTATAAATTATTTTTGGACTATTTAAAATAACGTAGTTCGTAGTATATTGTATAAAGTAGTAAAAAATTTTAAAGTTTTGTAAATATTTTGTTTTTTTTTCTACAAGATGATTTTTTTTGCATAGTATTGCATTTAAGATATCTTAAAATATAAAATAAAATTATACTATTTAAAAAAAATATATCACGTTTAACGTTTCATGTTTCTTTTCTCTCATGTGCCGGGATTTTGGCGTCACGTACGCGTCTATTTCATCTATACGTTTTTTGACGGTTTTATTTTTGTTCTATATTCTAAAGAACATAGTGTAAGTGAAATTTTGAATATTGGTACCTAATATTTTATATTCAATAAGGGTAAAACGAAAAGAGTACAAAAACCACATCTGCTTAATTTAATCTGAAAAACTGATTCATAAAATATTTTGAAATTTTGTTATCAAACCGATTGCTTCTGAAGCATAGTTTTTATCGTGGTAGCCCCTCGTTATAGTTGTATCAAGAATGCAACATAAATGCATCGATCGAGCATCGATGGCCCAGAAAGGGAGCTAAATCTAATTTTATTAAAAAACTCGGTACTCATGTACAATACAGAAATTCTCGATATCGTAGGGTTAATATTAAAATGTCCCCAATAATAATTCAAGTCGACCTTTAGGTAAAATTATGGTATTTTCGCTTAGTATTATTACGATACTATATACTACAAACTATGAAATAATGGTACAATTAGGATAATTATACTAAGAAATCCGACCCTGGTTACGTCGTGTTATGATATGACGTTTATATTATGACAGATACGCTACTTTGTCTTGTATGAAAAAGTTATGAGTAAAATATTTAGATGGGCCTATCCTTCCTTTTGAATTCATTGGTTAGATGATATTATGTTTAGAAAATTGTACTGATTTCCAATGCCCATGACCGCAAAATCTAAAAATAGAAACAGGAAAAAATAAAAATATACGATATAATTGTATCGATATCGTAATATATACTGCACTCAGTGTTTATTTATTAGATGCCTCTAATAAATAAATAAAACATCAATCATAGGTATATTACTTTATTACGCTATCTTTGACCAATGCTATCTTTATATAAAACTACTTCGTCATAATATTGACGATATATCGGAATTAGGGCATGCAATTCGGATATCCGGATATCCAAATTATTCGGATATTCGCCTCGTTTATTATTCGAATAGTATATTTATAATTATTCGGTTTTTACGAATATTTCGAATACTATCTTATTTTGATATTTTAAAATATCCGAACGTAAACCTACTAAGTTACGTGAAAAACATGCGTGGATCCGATTGTGGGTGATCATTCATCACGTAGCCAAAGCCGAAAATATGAAAAAAAAACTACTTAGCATGTATGCATAGTGCGAACGGTTTTACATTTCGTATCTTTGCGATATTGTTGTGAGTTGTGATGAATTTCAACAACAAATAATAGTATTTGGTTTGATCGAAATACCCTAGATAAACTTAGATGATAGGTAGGTAATCTACATTAACAATTACATTGCGCCGCTTTTTATTATTGATATTCCAATTGGACGATGCTTAATTCTACCTCTAATTTATAGGTTATGTTATGCTTGTGTAGCAGTTTATTTGTTTTGCAATTCCTATTGGCACACTTTTGTTTTAAATACTTACTTTATAAAATGCTTTTTTCTATCATGTTTTTTTAACGATAGATAAACATAATGCAAGCTTTACTAAGCACGTGAAATAAACGGCTGTTAATTTGGAATGTGCTGTTTTTGTGATTTACCATTTTTGATCTCGTTTCGGTGTTTTTTTTTTGTAGTTGCGTTATCGTATAAAGCTTAAGCTGGGTTGGTACAGTGGCTTTTGTTCAAAGTTCAAAATATTTTATTGTTAATCCAGATAAATAAGGGGTTACAATTAGATAGGTACAGTATCGCTGAATTTTGCAGACAATTGTGTACAGCGTGCAATAATTACAATTCTTAATTTGTAATAACAATAACATAAACCAAAAACAAATTCTAAATTGGTTCTAAATTCTAAAGCAGTTCCAAATATTTATATATCTCTGAAGAAACTTATTAACAAATATATTTGGTGTTGTGTTTTCTCTTTCCACAGATTAAAGATGGATGAAAAAAATAAACTTGAATTTAAAGAATATACTCGCTGTGCTGCAGATAAGTCTTCTGTTTGGCAACATTTTTTGCGGACATCAGATGGCCTTCATGCTCAATGCAAGATGTGTAAAAAAGTATTTAAAACCTCTGGAACAACTTCAAGCCTGCATAATCATCTTAGACTTGTTCATTCTATCCAGTTAGCTAAAAAAACATCTAACTATTCACTTCCGTCAACATCTCAAAAAGATATGTCATTAGATTCCGATGTCATAATGACGCCAGCAACAAAAAAGGCTAAAACAATAAATGACTTTTTTCATGTGAAGGAAGAAGATGACTTAGATACTATACTTGCGAAAATGACAGCAGTAGATGGTGTACCGTTTAAAATATTCTGTTCTTCGGAATCAATGAGAAAGCTATTTGGAAAAGCTGCTTACAAAAATTTGCCTAAATCACCAAATACAATAAAGAAAAAGGTTCTGAATAAAAGTGAGCTACTGAAAAAAGAAGTAAAAAAGGAGCTTAATGATATTAAGGCAGCAGGAAAACAATTGGCTGTAAGCCTAGATGAATGGACAAGTGCACGTAATCGCAGATATGTGAACGTAAATGTTCATTCACCAGAGCTTTCTGAAGGTTTTAGAAACTTGGGACTGACGAAAATAAGGGGCCGTGGAACAGCAGAGAACTGTTATAATATATTGAACGAAAAATTGGTATATTACGGCTTGTCAATACAAAACGATATCTCGTGCATAATCTCTGACGGTGCAAGCGTAATGTGCGCACTAGGGAGAATGGTTCCCTCTTATCATCAATTATGCTTGGCCCATGGTATTCAGTGCGCTGTCCTGGACGTGCTATACAAAGCTGATAACACAGAAGGTAACACCGGCATCACTGTTAACAGACCTTGCGATAGCTCTGACTCTGAGGACGAAAGTGATATAGAGAACGAAGATGAAAATCGTTTTGTCATCGAAGCTGACCCCAGTGGGGTCATTCCCAAGCTGGTTTATAAAGAATTGATAACTAAAGTCCGGAAAATAGTAAAATTTCTCAAAGGTTCGCCTACTCGCATGGATATACTCAATTCTTACCTGGAGTCCAAATCTAAAGACACGACACTGATCCTCGATTGCAAGACTCGTTGGAGCAGCCTTGCTGATATGATAGCAAGATTTCTAGAATTCAAAGACGCAATTCAAAAGACATTAATTGATCTCAAAGAGAAGACTACCTTTTCAGATACTGAAATATTAATTTTGAAAGATATGTCTAGTTCTCTCAAATTCATAAAGGACACAGTTGAAGAACTTTGCGAGCGAAAATCAAACTTACTAACCGCAGAAATTGCACTTCAATTCATGATGGAGAAATTGGCGATGAATCCAGACGTTATTAGTGGCCAGCTTAAAGAAGCTTTAAATAGAAGAATCTTGCAGAGGAGAAACGCTACATTGGTAAGTACGTTACAGTACTTACATAATCCTACAAAATATTATGACGAAAGGAATACTCCTCATGCATTTTCAAAGGCATCCCATGCGGAAATAATAGCCTTAATTGTAAAAATCAATGAGACTTATTTTTGCAAAGATAAAGCTGCTACAACTGTCTTTGAAGCTGAAGATGGCCTGCCTTTAAGAGAAATACAAAGACAGCAGCGCCTTGAAGATGAGAGGGAACAGGATACAGCCAAGACATTCAAGGAACAGTTAAAGACAAAAGTTAATGAAACCTTGCACAATACTGCTGAGGTATCAACAAAACATTTGTCCGAAAACGATGACTTGGAAACGTCTGTCAGGGTGGAAATGGCGCTATTAGATCGAAGTGGCCCTAAAAGCATTCATCTACAACGTGTTTACGATTTTTTACTTACCATCCCACCTACAAGCGTTGAAGCAGAACGTGTATTTTCGGCTAATAGATATTTTTACAATTTGATTTGAGATGTTCATTCAATGACGATACGTTAGACGCCCTCAGTTTCCTGCGGTCATACTTTATGAACACAAGAAAGTAATTTATTGTATTTTTAATTAAGTGTGGATGGTTAAAAAGGTTCCTAATTAAAATGTTTAAGTAATAATAATGTTTCTTTTCATAAACTTAAGCACTATTCGTAAAATTCGTATTATTCGAAGTATTCGGATATTTTTTATTCGGTTATTCGGAAAATCCGAATACCTTTTTTTGGACGAATAATGCATGCCCTAATCGGAATTAAAACACAAAAAGTACACAGTCTCTGTATTAGTTTCCGTAGGAAAGTGCTAAATAGGGGTGGCGCCACTGTAGCTAGAGGAGAGAAGTTTTAAAGAACTTTTTGTAACTGTTTACTGCACAGATTTTCACTATAATTATTTTTATAATAATTATTTTATCTTCAAAATCATTCTCAACGTGTTTCACAGCGACTTTTTCTAAATTATATTTAAATTTTAGACAACCTGAGTAGTTGAGGTTATAAATACTGCAGTTTCAACTACTCTAGTCACCACAAATATTAAATTCTTCGACTCAGCACACTTCACTCCGTCAACTTCTAAAGTTCATTTCATACCTTCTAGCTACTCCAGTGCTGTTGTGGAGAATTTTTGAACTGGAATTTACTGCTTACAGATGGATACTTTTTCATCTAAGGTCCATGAAGTTGACACCCGGTAATAATTATTAAAAATGCGACTAGTATAAATCGATTGCGCGTAAAAAATGATGTTTATTGGTACTAATTATTTGTTTGCGCGTCAAATATTTGTTTAGATATTTAAAAAAGTTAGGCGGGTGCTGTGAAATAATAAATTTTTAATTTTTGCTTAAAAATGACGGTAAAAGAGTAATTAAACAATGTAAATTTATAGATTTTCACATGCGCAATCAGCACCCAATATCAGTTTATCCATAAGTTATTTATTTACATCGTAAAGTATGTGGAACGACAAAAAGAGGTAGTAGTAAAAGAAGAGATGCATGGTGGAATGATGAAGTGAGAGAAGCTGTAAAAAAGAAGAAAAAAGCATGTTTAGACTACTTTGCCTCTAATAAAGATAAGCATATGAGAGAGAAGATGAAAGAAAGATATAAGCTGCAGAAAGTTCATGCGAAAACATTGATCGAGGAAGTACGTGAAAGGTGTAGAATAGAAGCGGACGAGAGGTTGTCGCACAACTTTAAGGAAAACTCCAAACTCTTCTGGAAAGAGGTTGGAAGGTCCCGGAGTGGTGCGACAGCCTTAAGAATGAACAAAGTGCTTTCGAGAACCAATGACGTCCTCTCAGAAAAATCGGACGTCATGCAGCGATGGAGTGAATTTTATGGAGAAATGTATGCGTGTCATGATCTTAGTGAAGGATCCGGGGGTGACGCCGGAGGCACGCCAGAAACGGACCTCGATGACACTGAGGTCATCAGCATGAAAGAGATTGAACGTGCGATTCGAAGTTTGAAATGTGGTAAGGCTGCGGGACTAGACAGAGTTACTGCTGAAATGGTTAAATACGGTGGGCCTCGCGTCTGGGACAGCTTTCGTCTGCTGTGCAATTTGTGCTGGCGGACGGGAGATGTCCCGGATGATTGGCGATCCGCGGTCATTGTGCCTTTATATAAAGGTAAAGGTTCACATTTTGACTGCGGGTGCTATCGGGCGATCAGCTTGACCAGTTTAGCAAATAAAGTTTACTCGAAGGTTTTGACACGTAGGATGCAAGAGAAATCGGAAAGATTCTTATGGGAGGCACAATGCGGATTTAGACCTGGAAGAGGATGCACGGATCAAATGTTTTCTCTCCGCATGATCACGGAAAAGCATCTGAGTGTTAACCAGAGGATTTTCTGTGCTTTTGTGGATCTGGAGAAAGCATTTGATAAGGTTATAAGGAAGAAAATGTGGGAACTGTTGCCGGGATATGGTGTGGATGGTCGATTGTTACGGGCTGTGCAGTCACTTTACTATGACTGTAAAGCCTGTGTGCGGGTAGGGCATGACCTGTCACCCATGTTTAGCGTCCAAGCGGGCGTAAAACAGGGTTGTGTCATGTCTTCCTGGCTGTTCATACTGTATCTCGACAGCTGTTTACAGAAGCTGAAAAATAGCTGTTTGGGTGTGAAATTGGGTGACATTAAAGTAAATTGTCTGCTGTATGCTGATGATGCAGTGCTTATTGCACCGTCAGAAGCAGAACTGCAGGCATTAGCCACGTGTATGAAAGAGGAATGTGAAATTAAAGGTCTCCGTTTGAATGCTAATAACACTAAGGTTCTGGTATTTGAAAAGGACGAAGAGAGAACGAAATGTGAAATATGGGTAAATCAAATCAGGAATGTCTAGAACAGGTAAAGGAGTGCTTTCAACCGGGATGGAAGATGTGATTTAGATGTGGATAGGCGTGTCGGTGCCGGAAACAAAGTCAATGGTGCCCTGAATGCATTAGTCAAAAGGCAAGGCGTGGTGAAGAGTGCACGCCTTGCCATACATAACGCAGTGTTGGTACCGACTTTGTTATATGGCAGCGAAACCTGGGTATGCCAGAAGAAGCATAAAAGCAAGTTGAATGCAATGGAGATGCGATCTCTTCGTAAAATGTGTGGCGTTACCATAGCCAATCGAAAGCGAAACGAAGAGATTCGCAATATGGCAGGATTGAAAGATGACCTTATCACAAAAATTGATAGGGGCGTATTCCAATGGTTTGGGCACGTTGAGCGAATAAGTGATGACCGAATGGTGAAGAAAATATATAGAGCGAAACTAAATATTAAAAGGTGTCGAGGTAGACCGAGACTAACTTTCGAAGACCATGTGAGCAAATTGCTCGAAGAGGGGAAGGTCAAGAGTACTCGGATACCTAGACGTGCATGTATGAAGAAGTTAATGAACCTGAAAGAAGCGAAAGAGGTATGTAAGGATCGTGACACTTGGCGATCTGTTTTCTCTGGCTACCCCGTTAGGGATTGTGCGTGAAGATAAGTAAGTAAATAATTAATTAAATAATCCTGTAAGCTCAGCCGCAGCGTCCGAGCTCGAGAGTGCAATATCCCTAGTACGCTAGTGCTTAAAGCGCTTTTTTCTTTAGTTGGCAGCATCAGCTTCCTTAAGAGTATGAAGTGTAGAAGTAAGGAGTACCAACTCCCATAGTAGAATAGTTGAAAAAGTGGTCATCTGTAGGCAGTAAATAACAGTTCAAAAACTCTCCATAAATGCGCTGGAGTAGCTACTGGGATGAAATGAACAACAATGAGAAAAGAGACATGATCAATTTTTCCAAATGACCGCCAGAAGACAACCCAATATCACAGCGATGCTACTACAAAGGCTCCAATCCTCCTCTCTACAATCTTCCTCCTTCCTCCAATTCTCTACAATCCTCTACAGAGGTTTCAATCTATAACTATAACTTTTTATGGAAATTAAAAAGATTTTAAACTATAAAGTCATAAATAATATAGGTGTTTGGCAAAGCTCTTTAGGAAGCTGTTGCTGCCAACTAAAGAAAAAAGCGCTTTAAGCGCTAGCGTAGTATGGATATTGCACTCTCGAGCTCGGATGCTGCGCCTGAGGTTATGGTATTATTTAAATTATTAATTACGATGTAAATAAATAACTTATGGATAAACAGATATCGGGTGCTGATTGCGCATGTGAAAATCTACAAATTAACATTGTTTAATTATTCTTTAACCGTAATTTTTATGCAAAAAATAAAAATGTATTATTTCACAGCACCCGCCTTATTTTTTTTAATATCTAAACAAATATTTGACGCGCAAATAATTAGTACCGATAAACATCATTTTTTACGCGCAATCGATTTATACTAGTCGCATTTTTAATAATTATTTCCGGGTGCCAACTTCATGGACCTTTTCATCTATCCTCCTATGTGAGATAATTCTCTCTACCTCTACACTTTTTTTTATTTAACTGGCCTTACGGCTCTGGGTTCTACGAGGGGCACACTGAAATGATTGGGAATAAGAAAAACCACATGCACGGTTTAGCTAAATTGTATTTTATTGTTTTTTGAAGTATTCTCCATTCAACTTAATGCAATTTTCCATTCGTGCAAACCAATCATTAAAACAGTAATTCCAATCTGAATTTGATGTTGACAAAATGGCTGATTTGTACGCTTCCACAGTTGCTTCGGGGTCTTCAAACCGTTGAACGCGAAATAAATCTTTCATTCTGGGGAATGTAAAGAAATCTTTCGAAGATAGCTTTCTCACACACAGCTCATTATGTAATATCGACTGAATTGCAGTCATTCCGATGCTGATAACAGCCTGAATCCGCTAGGATGTCACATAACGGTCATCTAATATAATAGGTCGCACAGCTGCAATGTTTTCAGGCGTGACCGCTGTTCTTGGTTGACCTGCAGAAGAAACAGTGCTGAGCGACACACGACCACGTAGGAACTCGGCATACCAGCGGTATATTGTCGTTTGACTCAGTGCTTCAACATCATAAATCGAAACAAGTTCGCTGAGACATGTTTCTTGTGATAAGCCGCGATGAAATTTGTGATAAATTACGCCACGGAAATGTTCACGCGTGAGCTCCATTTCTGTTAACGACGTGTCAACTTTAAACCAACATAGTTTTTGTTTTTAAACATTTTTTAATTGTTTGAGTGTCGTTAAGATTCTAAGAGGTCAGTATTAAATTTAGAATTTATGACTAGGTTTTATTGTGACTTAATCCGAAATGTTCTATTCCCGATCATTTCAGTGTGCCCTAACGTAGGCTCTTCAGAGCCTATTGTTTCTTTCGGAATCTTAATTTTTGTATATATATATATTTCTAATGGTTCAAACGCGCAGCACTTAATTCATAAAATTGCATCACTTTTACGAATCAAAAGTTACTTCAAATCATTATTCAAGCGACAAAACAGGAGCGACAATCTGTCGAGGGCCAAGTTCCCGCCCAAACCTCATACCTCTACAC